CGGTGCTGCCCTGAGCGGCCCCGTCGCTGCCCTCTGTGGCCTCGGATTTTATGCCCTTCGTGGCCCACGCTGGCTTTTCTCACGATTTACTTGGGAATCGCGTTCTCGCTCGAGACTTCCTCGCGATTCATGCAGGACCCACGCTTCAGCAACCCGCCTGCTCGAGCTCGTCGCGTGGGCCCGCCTTCCCGACCTGCCCGCTATGGGTCTGCCCACCCGATCTGCCCGTTTGGTTCTACCACTTGTTTTCTGCTCCTTGCCCCCCTCCTGCTAATTTGTCTCGTGCTCCATTCTTCTCACTCCCCTTTTCACCCGTCCTCTCTTCCCTTGTTTAAGGGGCTGCATTCAATACACGTGGCAGGTAAGTAAGATATACCCCCAAGGGCTTACGATCGAAGACGACGAGGGCGGGTACCGAGGGTTTGGGATATACGTATGGATTGGCACGTGAGCAGATCGGAGCGAACAGTCTCAAATGATTGTTGTTGAACATTATTAATTCTAAAGAATAATTATTGTTGGGACCCCTGGTGCACGGCCCCCCTGCGCCGCCTAGGCCGCAGCTACATTTTCATCATTTTCGTGAGGAAGCCTCAGGTAATTCGATGTGATCAAGATCTGGTTGTTTTGTTCCCCCCCGCTTTCCCTTGCAAAAAACACTATAAAATGACACTTCTTGTTCTAATATAATCAAATTTCAAGAATCCTTTGCAAAAAATAAGGTAAAGTGGACATTCGCGCGCGCAAGACGAAATCCTTCCAAAAGCTTAGTGTTCGGAGCGATTTTAACATAAAAACATCAAACAACCAATGGTTTTTTCAACAAAAAATGTCAAAATCTCATCCCGCGCGCTCTTGCGGATTCGTAGGAAAACCAACACTTTTTCAACATTTCTGTCAAACGGGCTTTTGCGAGCAACTTTTTCGAACTTCTGCGACAACGGTTGCGCACCTGCCAGGGCCATCATCCCTGTCAAATAATACCATGCGGGACACATTCGTTTTTTCTTTCCGTGCGCACGCCGAAATCTTCAAAAACCATTGGGTTTCGTAGGAATTTAGCACCGCGCAACATAAAATCATTTTTCGCACCGTAGGCCCTTCAAATCGTCGTCGTCGTATACTAAGCTAGTTTCCACAAGATGTTACCACAAGAAGTCATTGAAACCATGCGCCAGTGTAGTAGCCACGGTCGTCCGCTTGCCACGAAGTGAAGTGTCCGAACGTCATAGGGCGGGAAGCTGGGTGTGGGTGGTGGCGAAGAGTCGTTTGGAAATGTGGTAGAGCTTGAACCGGCCCCCCCACAAAGTGGGGGTATTGGCGGGCGTCGTATGAAAACCCTGGCACTGGTGAGAACACTGAGCGTTCGGGTAAAATGATTGTTGTTGTTGTTGTTGTTGTTGTTGGTGGGGGACTGGTTTTGGCGGGCCCCCTAAAACTTAATTTAGAGAGGAAGTACAGCCGGCGCCTAGGCGAAAGCGTGAAAGCACATTCAGGGTGTCCAACAATAGTAATTGTGTAGTGATGAAGGTTTTACAACAAAAGCAACCGCAACAACGCCATTGACAACAACAACCGCGACGACGACAATAACACCAGCCTTCACAACAACAGCAGTACCAACAACAAAAACAGCAGCAGCAGCGACAACAACAACAACAGTAATCCGCCCCGCAGAAGCTCCTTCCATCCGTGCAGCCCAGGGACAGTGAATGACCGTTCGACCCCCTCACTCTGATTTGAGACGGCGATTGGCATCTGTAGTCTGCAGTTGTTGATTGAGGATATTGAGGGGGCCAGGGTGACCTACGAACGATGGTCGCGACGATGATGATTCCGAATGTGCTGATGATTATGTTGGTGACGACGAGGCGGTGGCGATGACGATGACGATGATAATGATGATAATGATGATGACGAGGAGGAGGGGAGAGAGAGGATAAGGAGGATGATGACGGTGATGACAAGAACGGCGATGACGATGACGGTGATGGTGATGATGACGGTGGTGCGGCTGATGCTGATGTGAAGGACGACGATGATCATGATGGCGACGACGACGGCGACGATTCTGATGACGCGTATGGTCGTTACGATGATGGCGTTGGTGTTGCTGCTGCTTGTGATGATGATGATGATGATGATAATGATGATGTTAGTGGTGATGATGACGATACTGCTGCTGATGATGACGATTATGCGTGAGATTATGGTGATGACGATGACGATGCTGATACTGATGATGATCATGATGATGATGAAGATATTGATGGCTGTGGTATCGATGACGATGACGGTGATGATGATCTTGATGCTGATCACGATGATGGTGATGATGATGGTGGCGGTGATGCTGATGATGTTGATGTTGATGTTGGTGCTTATGCTGATGATGAGTGGGGGGTGGGTTGATGTCATGAAGGTGGATGATGAGAGGGCCACGCAGGAACAACATGAGGTTCATGGTAAATCCAAGATGTGTCAGCGATGCTGCAAGGCCTCCCCCCATGAGTCCCTGCGCGCATTCTTGCTCATTGTGCGAAGCGCCTCGTTGAACGACGAACGCCCGATCAGCCAGCAGTTCAGACGGGAACCCCGGTTTTGACGGACATGGCCCTACATCTTTCGAGCACTAAGGCATGCAACAAGGTGGGGCCACTAAGGGAATGGCAGTGTCCGCGCCCCCCCCCTTGTAAAGGAGTTGCCCTCCATCCGTGTAGCCCTGTACTCGATTCTGGACTTTAGACGTTGACCCGAGTGAAGTCGTCCGCCCTCTATCCGCGACGCGGTTGGGACCGCTTCGGGCGAGCGTGCGCAGCGCCAGTGTGAGGGCCCAATTGTGAAGACGATCCGCCCTCCATCCGTGCAACTGCTGCAAGAAGACGAGTATGCGCAACGCCAAGGCGGGAGCCCACTTTCGAGAACGAAACGCCCTCCATCCGTGTAGCCGTTGGGAACCTCAAACGTCAATTCTTCACGCTTCGCGTATCCCCACCAGCCCATCTCAAAACAGCAATTCTAGCGAAGCATGCCGACAGTCGTGTTTTTCAGGCGTGTTTCCGCCTGCCCCCGGTGAATTCTCCCCTTTGTTTGGTTTCTTTTTGTGTCTTGTTTGTGATGTTTTGTGTCTTTGTTCTTTTTTTTTTTGTGTCTTTGTCTTGTTGTTCTTTTTCTTTGTTTTTTTGTTGTTCCTTCCTCTTTCTTTTTTTTTTCCTTCCTCCCGCCTCCTTGTACATCCTCCTTGTGGTGGGAGCGGGAGAAGGACGAGGCGGAGGAGGAGGGAGAGAAAGCGCTCCTCGTGGTTTGAGTCGTTCGGGTTTCTCGTCCTGGTGTGAGTCGTTCGGGCCCTTCTTCCTGGTGTGAGTCGTTCGGGCTCTTCGTGGTGTGAGTCGTTCGGGCTCTTCGTCCTGGAGTGAGTCGTTCGGGCTTCTCGTGGTGTGAGTTGTTCGGGCCCCTCGTCCTGGTGTGAGTCGTTCGGGCCCCTCCTCCAGCCCGTCCAGAAACGACGCCCAGGCGAGTAGAGGGTCGTCCTGATGGGCTTTTCGGCGTCTTGGGTGCCTCGGGGGGGCCTCTTTGGGCCGTTTGGGATCCTCTTGGGGGCCTCCTGGGGGCCTCTTGGGGCCATCTTGGGGCCTCTTGATGCCTCCTGGGCGCTTCTTGGGGCCATCTTGGAGGAAATCGATCAAAGAAGAGGGGAGCTTTACTTAGCGCTGCCCCCTCAGAAGGCCAAAATGGGGCCAAAACCTTTGTAAAATCAATGATTTTGGCTTGAAAGAAGAGGAGAGCTTTAATTAGCGCTGCCCCCTCAGAAGGCCAACATGGGGCCAAAACCGTAGTAAAATCAATGGTTTTGGCTTCAAAGAAGAGGGGAGCATTTTTCTGCCTCCCCCCGTCGAGGCCAGAATCCTCGTGAGGGTGTCGTTTTTTAGCCCTCCCAGGAAGTGAAAAAGACCCCTCCAACCACCCGCGGGGCGCCCTCTCCAGGCCCAGGGGTAGGGGGTAGGGGGAGGGGTAAACCCCTCCCCGAAGGGGAAGAAGGGGGTTGAGAACAGAGCGGGCTTTCTAAACCACTCACGCCCAAAGGGCTGGTGGGATTCGGCAAGCGATGGGGACGCGTCAGGCTAAACTCCAGGCCCGCCCTTCAACCGGACTGGTGGTGCGACAGGGAGGGGCTTTGTGAAAGGCAGAGGAAAGGGGGGAAGGGGAGGGCGAGGTCGAGGGGGATGGCGAGGAGGGTCAGGAGGAGGAGGAGGATGAGGAGGAGGAGGAGGAGGAGGAGGAGGAGGAGGAGGAGGAGAAAGAGGAGCAGGCAGAGGCGAGAGATAAGGGGGAGTGGTGGGGGAAAGGTTTTGCAGTGACTTTTTGGGCGTCGTTTTAGAGCTCCCTCGGGGCTTTCTCGAGCGTTTTGGGGGCTCTTTGGTGGGATTCTCTTGGGCCGTTTCGAATGCTCCTGGGCCAGCTTGGGCCGTCTTGGGGCGTCTTGGGTCCCCTGGGGGTGCGGTGCGTCTCGGGTCGCCTTCCGTTGTGGTCGTCTGGGCCTTCATGCCCTCTTGAGATTCTCCAGGGCCCTTCTTGGGCCGTCTCGGTGTCGTCCGTGCTTGGGAGGTCTTGGACCACTGTTGAGACGTCTCGGGGCATTTGGCCCGCCTTGGCAATTCGAGAACAGCAAATCATTCATCTGGGGCATCTAGGGCCTCTTGGGCCTCTTTTCGAGCTCCTCGAGCGCTTCCTGGAACCTCTTGGGGCCGCTTGGGGCCTCTTGGGTCGTCTTCGAGGCCTCTTGTGCTGTCCTGGCGGCCTCTCGTGTGCCTCTTGGGCGGCATCTCGGCGCCTTCTTGGGCTGTCATGCGCTCGACTTAGGGGGGCCTGGGATTTTTGTGACCGCCCCGGGCTTCCAAACACCCCCCGCCCCCCCACCCCCGCCTCCCCCCTTTTGCTGATTCCGCCTTCTAGGACATGCCACCATGCCGATAAAAACCCAGAGGGGTCCGCGAATTCAGTGCACCAGTTCTTGGCCAACGACGACGCCCGGGATGGGCCTGTGTCCACTGGCGACGACAGCGACGCAGCTGCAGAGGTGAGGAGGTCCAGGGAGCTTGCGAGCCAGGACCACTTCAACAGCGAGAACACGCCGGCCGCAGATGACGACTTCATCCAGCTCAAGTCGAAGTCGCGCAAGAGAAGGCGCCAGATGCCCGGTGACGACTACGGGGACGGGTACGAGTACGGCGACCGCGAGATGAACGCGCGCAACGAGGACAGCGCCGACTACTCTGTGCACCAGTTCTTGGCCAACGACGACGCCCGGGATGGGCCTGTGTCCACTGGCGACGACAGCGACGCAGCTGCAGAGGTGAGGAGGTCCAGGGAGCTGGCGAGCCAGGACCACTCAACGCGAGAACACGCCGGCCGCAGTGACCGAACTCCACCAGCCAGGCAAGGCGCGCAATATAAGGCGCCAGATGCCCGGTGACGACTACGGGGACGGGTACGAGTACGGCGATCGCGAGATGAACGCGCGCAACGAGGACAGCGCGGACTACTCGGTGCACCAGTTCTTGGCCAACGACGACGCCCGCGACGGGCCTGTGTCCACCGGCGACGACAGCGACGCAGCTGCAGAGGTGGGTGAGGGGTCCAGGGAGCCTATGCGAAGCCAGGACCACTTCAACAGCGGAGAACACGCCGGCGGGGCCGCAGAGGATGACGACTCATCCAGCTCCAAGTCGAAGTCGCGCAAGAAGGAAGGCGCCCAGAAGCCCGTTACGACACGGGGACGGTAACGAGTAGGCGACCGCGAGAGAACGCGCGCAACGAGACGACAGCGCAGGCCTACTCTGATGCACCATTTCTTGGCCAACGACGAGCCAGGGATGGGCCTTGGGTTCCACTGGCGACGACAAGTGACGCAGCTGCAGAGGTTGAGGAGGTCCAGGGAGCTTGCGAGCCAGGACCACTTCAACAGCGAGAACACGCCGGCCGCAGATGACGACTTCATCCAGCTCAAGTCGAAGTCGCGCAAGAGAAGGCGCCAGATGCCCGGTGAAGACTACGGGGAAGGGTACGAGTACGGCGACCGCGAGATGAACGCGCGGAACGAGGACAGCGCGGACTACTCTGTGCATCAGTTCTTGGCCAACGACGACGCCCGGGATGGGCCTGTGTCCACTGGCGACGACAGTGACGCAGCTGCAGAGGTGAGGAGGTCCAGGGAGCTTGCGAGCCAGGACCACTTCAACAGCGAGAACACGCCGGCCGCAGATGACGACTTCATCCAGCTCAAGTCGAAGTCGCGCAAGAGAAGGCGCCAGATGCCCGGTGACGACTACGGGGACGGGTACGAGTACGGCGACCGCGAGATGAACGCGCGCAACGAGGACAGCGCCGACTACTCTGTGCACCAGTTCTTGGCCAACGACGACGCCCGGGATGGGCCTGTGTCCACTGGCGACGACAGCGACGCAGCTGCAGAGGTGAGGAGGTCCAGGGAGCTTGCGAGCCAGGACCACTTCAACAGCGAGAACACGCCGGCCGCAGATGACGACTAAGGCTGGGCGGGCAGGTTCTGCAGTCCGTGCATCGGCATTGCTGCAGACCGTGCATCGACATTGCTGAGACGTAGCTGCGGGCCGCGCTTCGAGTTTACCATTCGCCGTCGGCCGCAGGAAGGACTGTGGAAAA